TCACTGGTAATGCAAATGCTACTGGCAACAGCAGCTTGGTAATAATAAATGTAAAAGAAAAATGGTTATGTGGGAGAGAGTGCCCATTAAAATCTATGTTTTTATATTCATTAGAAAATACAGACTATGCTGGTGACCTGTGTTTAAGATGATATAATACTGGCTAGGTAGGAGTTGCCATGTGATACAGAATGGTTGTCTTGTCATGGTTTCCCATAATTCAGAAAGGGAATTTTCTTGGCTACATTGATTTTCTGCAAAGCCACGTTACAGCAGTCTTAGGGGTCGGCAACTGTGCATGTACACCTGCAAGCATGCTGCTAACACGTGCAGTGCATCCTCAAGGAGAAGTAGTGTCTGACACGAGAAAAGAGCAAAGCAACATCCCAGAATGACAGCATGATAGGAGAGGGTAGTGTGGGAATAGTGACTCTGGCCCAGCAGACAAGCCTCTACCTCAATCAAAAGCCTTGTATGTGGCTTAGTATGAATGGCAAGTATGGCTATTACTAATAATAATTACATAAACAGACAGCTCTGCACAGGATCAGGCCTGTATGTTCCTTCAGTATCTGTTTCATTTGATCATGTTAGCAGAAGGCCAGAAAATTTAGGTATCGTCCTTACTGACAAACCTCTCTGGCATGTATTCTCTCATTTGCCTTGGATGGCATAGAGTAAAAATGAGGTGTCCCTGTCCATGGCAGGGGGGTTGGAACTCGATGATTTTAAGGTCCTTTCCAACTCTTAACTATTCTATGATGATTCCATGATTTTTTTTTGCGAATTATACAACTACTTGTTCTTGATTGTGCTAGTAGGAAATAATAATAATAATAATGCTAGTAGTAGTAGTTATTATTATTTTTATTATCATCATTATTATGTTAGTGGGAGCTATTGAGAAAATTATTGTCCTGGGTTCAGCAGTAGCAGTCATTTTTCTCCTTCTTGGTAGCTGGTGCAGTGCAGTGTTTTGACTTTCAGCTCGGGAACAGAGCTGATAGCAATGTTTTGGTTTGGCCAAGGACTTTGTGAGCCTCATGCTCTGCCAGGGAGGAGGGGAAGCCGGGAGGAAGCAGAGGCAGGACACCTGACCCAAACTGACCAAAGAGGTATTCCATACCACAGCACGTCATGCCCAGGATGTAACTGGGAGTTAGCTGGAAGGGCTGGGAGACTGCAGGGTTGGAGGAGGTATCGGTCGGAGCTTGGTCGGGCTTGGGGGGTGAGTTATCGGTCAGCTGGTGCTGAGGTGTTATATTCTCTTCCCTTGTTATTTCCTTTATCATTGTTATCATTGGGGGTAGCAGTAGTGATTTGTGTTATACCTTAGTTACTAAACTGTTCTTATCTCAACCCGTGGGAGTTGCATTCTTTTCGATTCTCCTCTCCGTCCCTCCGAGAGCAGGGGGAGGGCAAGAAAGGGGGGGGAAGTGAGTGAACGAGTTACCTGACTGGGTTTAAACCACGACAATTATCAAAATATATTCTGAGATTAAAAACTGAACTTGGTTCCAACACTGCAAAGACTTGCAATTAGTTAGAGTCTGAAGCTGAAATCGTGATTTCTTGCCAAGAATTTATATTCCCAGAAGCTAAATGTACCACTGGTCCTCCTGGCTCATTATTGATTAGGTCTATTTTTGTTGCTGTAAGTGTTGTTAGCTTTGTTTATAACTACAGACCATGATAGAGTCAATACTAATTGAGATAAGAGCATGCATCCTCCGTGCGTTCATCTCTGGCACAAAATACTATTCCTAGATTGCAAAAGGGAAGAATGAAGGACATTTTTCAAGGTTCTTGGCATGGGAGTATAAATAGAAGAACTGAAAGAGCCTCAATTTCCTTGTTTTAATTCTTGATTTCCTTAATTTGTCTGATAATGTGAAAATATATTTACTCTGTGGGTAGGAATGACAAAGCAATAGAACAAAATTGTGTATACATTTTTAAAGCAATTACATGCTTTACGGAAAACACAAATACCCACAAGGAGCAGGTGCATTGAAGCAGTCTGAGGACACACAAACATGTGGGGTACTGAACTAGGGGCTATTAGCAATAGATGGGAAGCGTGCTTCTCTCATGTATTGTACTGGCCAGGGAAAATACTGAGTTTCAAGTTTTTCATTCTCAGATAATCTGGCTACTTTAATTAAATAAAGCTTTAGACAGCGGTAACAGGCTATAGGCATACAAACCAATTCTGGAAATTCTTGTGTGTTTCTGGTGGTGCTCTGAGACCCTCTGACAAAGACTGTAAGCCAAATATTTAATACTAACAATGTGATAAAGAGCTACAGCCAGTGCATCTTTCACCTTTGCTACCTACGTACTCTCCTGTCATCAAAGCACAAATTCTGTCATGGCTCAGACAAGTGCTGTCACAACTCAGTATTTGAAACCACAGCATGGAAACAGAACAGGTCAGGGGCAGATGTCACCGATGTGTCAGCAGATGAAGCACCCTCAGAAATGGCAACTATTAGGCATTCCCAAAGCTTCCTGTAAATGCCTTCACTACTCACCCTAGGAAGCTTTTCTGCTGTGTGTGCAGTGCTGTTCACGTGCCCATCCCACAATAGCTGGACTGTCCTTTTAACTACTTCCTTGGCAAGTGACAACGTGCTGACTCCTGGGGGAACTGGAAAAGCTTTCTGTTGATCTTGCATCAAGCTCCACTGCGAACAGCTCAGAGAGCTTTTAATTAGGTATAGCTCATCTAATCCTTTGAGCACCCCGTTGCAATGCCTGCATATCTATGAAAGCATTTCAAAGCAAATAAATACATTTAATACTTTCCTCATTGCTACTCACATCTGAGAATATGAAGAGATTTTTTTCAACAATGAAAGCTGATTAGCTGACAATGATAGAAATTTCTTCACATTTCCATAGGAGGAAGGGGATGATGGAGTCATGACATTATTAATTACTGCTACTGTAATTCAAGTTCTGAAATGTGGATATTAATTTTATTTTTAAGAGTCTTGATGTTAGATTTCATACTCACATATTAGAAAACCATTACTGACTCCTTAATTAGGCTTTCAAAGGATTAACAGGAGTTTTGCTAGTGAATTTAGCTCATGCATAATTAATTTATTCTGGTGTCCCCACAGCCTGATTCATGGCTGAATTTCTAAAACGTGGCTTCATTTGGTACCCCAGCTTTTAATAAATGTTTTTTACCTTAACTAACACTGCATTGATGGATTTCCTTAAAATAGCTTGTGAACTATATGTCAGTATCTGCTGAGTCAACAAGGCTGGTGGAAGACTCTCAGCCCACAAAAACTGCACTCAGTAGATGGTGCAGGACAAAGAAAATATTCTTTTTTAATTTAACTAACACAAACCCATCTCATTTTCTGGTAATTTTTCTTTTCTTTGCCTTTCATTGCACAGAGGAAAAAGCATCCTGTTTTAAATAGGTAGCTGTTATTCCTGCGCAATATAGCACCCTACAGTTATTCTGTGTTTATTCCCATATAATTGTTAATATGATGTAAGGGCTCAGCAAGATTCTTCTCATTATCCTTCCCATATGAGAGGAAAATGAACTAGCAGTGAGATACCAAGAGCTAAAGCACTGTGTGGGAGATCAGTATGGTGCTAAAAGGTTAAGGATCTGTCCTGGGGGCCCTCTGAGGTTGAGTATGGCAATTTTCCAGTGAGTGTGCATCCAGCAGAGTGCTGAGTGACACCCAGCATTTACAAGTTGGAAGCTTTCCTGAAATAAAAGCCTGACATGAGCTGATGGAAAGAACCAGAGCTCCACATGGCAGCAACAGGAAACTTTACTATCCAAAGGCTAACTTTGTAATAGAGGTAAAGCTGCCTTGCTCCACTGAAAGTATCTTCTCATTATGCCCAAGAGTCTTCATTTTCATTTAGATATGAAAGCAGATTGAGAGCTTGTGGCTGTTATTATGGTAAATGCTCCCTTTCTGACCCAGCCAAAACACTGATACCTAGTGACATACACCTTTTCTTTGCCAACAACATGACACTTCCCTGTACTGTGCAGTGGAACAAGGTTTCATACATTTAGTAATAAGGATGTAAGGATGTGAGCAGAGATTATGGTACAAATATTCTTCTGGACATATAAGACAGCAAGGTGGAGCAATACAGAAGAATGAAATAGGGGAAAAAGACAAAAGAAAAAAGAGAATGGATGGCAAGGACTGGTGAAATGGAGGCAGAAGTAAAAAGAAGAGCAACCTAATGCTTCACATTGGATAGAGTTGCACAACATAATATTTATATATTTCTTTGTTAAATTTAGTATTTAAATACATATGATTGAACCAGCAAAATGAGAGTTGATGGTGTATGACAGGTCATTATTTACATTTTAGTGTCCAGGTATGTCCTGACGGTAAAAAAAAGAAGTACCTATAGCTCAGCACAGGGTTTAATTCCTTATTAGCTTTAATTCCTTGTTCTAGTTACAGACATTTGGAATTGTGTTTGAGAATCACATTATTGAAATGTCTTTTTTTTTTCATAAGAATAATATAGCTTAGAATAAAAACTGACCACACAGGAGCAACGCTAATAAATGCTAAGGACTGAATTCATTCCATACCGTTTCCTGAAACATGTAAATCACTTTGAAGATGAAAATTGTTCCGAAAACTATTAATGGGTATTTTGAGTTCTAGGTTTGAGAAGGTGTCACTGAAGTAATGAAAGAATCTTGTGCAGTTGTTCTTTCTGGTCGTAATACACAGAGAGAAGAAAACCATGAGTATAGCAAAGGAGGAAGGAATACTAATTGCAGTTACAGAGAAGAAAAGAAAGCAGTGGTATCAGCTAAAACTGTAACTGGCCTGGTGTTCTGGTTTTGGCTGGGATAGAGGTCATTTTCTTCTTAGAAGCTTGTATGGGCTGTGTTTTGGCTTTGTGCTGAAACAGTGATGACAACACAGGGATGTAACTGCTGAGTAGGGCTTACAGAGTCAAGGCCTTTTCTGCCTCTCAAACCACCCCACCAATGAGCAGGCTGAGGATGAACAAGGAGTTAGGAGTGGACAGAGCCAGGACAGCCAACCCCAGCTGACCCAGGGGATATCCCAAACTCTGTGACATCATACATAACAATAAAAGCTGAGGGAAGAAGGCAGGGGGAATGTTGAGAGGGCTCAGGTCATGAAGTTGGATACTGCATAGTTTAAGAAGTGATGTGGAGGAACATGACTCTAATGCAGGAGCCGAAAGGTCTGATCATTGAGAAAGCGTGCAGATGAAAATGTTTTATTGTACTTCTGGGAAAGGAATGTCTGCAAAGAAATAAAAAGGTAAGGCATGAATGTCTTTGCAGGGTGTGGTGGCAGCAGCATTGTTATTCAGCAGTATAAAGTATATTCTGATGGATTTGGAGGCTGACAATAACAGAGCTGTAGCCTTGAGAACTCATCTGCTATAAATGCCCAAGGAGAGGAGCTGACCGATTGCAGGATGAGTTTGAACTGCTGGTGAAATGTGTCATACATGTGCTGGTGTGACATATCAAATAGGGTGTTTTAGCAGACACAGGAGAGCTTTATAGCTGCTCTGAGTGAGCACTGGTGATATTCTGGAACCCATGCCAGTCCCAAGAAGAGAGCTCGGCTAGGACACTAGAATAAAAGGCTAGTGGGATGAGTTTGGGAATCGGGAGCTTATCAGGCTAGAGGCTGGAAAAGCCTGCTTTGTTTAGCAGTGTAGATGGCTGTTGCTTGTGAATGTATGTACATATTTATACTGGAATAAATACTGGGAAGAAAGGAGACACAATTGAGCAAAAAGGTTATTACAAAGAAAAGCAAGAACAAATCAGTTGCTAATAAATCCAGGCTGAAAAAAAAACTATACAGGTGTTGGTGATAGGCTTTTTGTTTCAAGCTCCTGGGTTTGATGATTCATGGCCTGACAGCTTGCAGAGGCTGAAAGGATCACGACAGCTCACCCTAGCTTCACGGGAACTCGGGATGCAGCAGCCAGCTCTGTTCCCAGACTCCCTTTTCTTCTGTATAAGAAATGCATCTCTAAGCTAGGATTTTTTTCCCTGCTCGTCTATAAAGCCTGTCTGGGCAGACCAAAATCGCCATCTAGCGAAGACAATCTCTCAGCTCACACATTTCACACAAGTCTGCTGTAAACACAATTGAGACAATTGTCTCTATGCAATATTTTGCTGCATTTCTTTGAGTGAAAATAGTACATAATACTTTGCAAGAGCAAATCATGCACTGAAGGTAAAAATAATTTGCTGAGGTGACAGGAAAGCAGGCATTTTCCAGAAAATAATTTGTATCCAAGCATAGGGATTCCTACCACTTCTCACTGTAATCATGATGGTGCTTATTTTAATGTCTTTGCAGTGTATTTACAGGGGTATTGAGTAAAGAGCCAGATTTAAAGTCTGTACTGGGTGTCTTATGCCTCCTTCATAAGTAGTGCTTCAAAAGGTCTCAGACTTGGTCCTGGTTTCTCTGAATGGTCAATAGTAAGTAGATTGTATATTGGCTAGAAGCCACAGAAGTGATTTCACTTGTAATATGTCTGTAATGAATTAAAATGAATGCACAACAAATAAAAGATAAACGTACCTGTACCAAGTTTGCAATTTTTGCAAAGGCTTCTAGCTAAATCATTTTGCAGGTTCCTTTGGCTTGACCTGAGTGATTGAACAGGCATCTGTAGTCTGTAAAACTTTCCAAACCTACCAAAACATTCTTGAACTTTACACTTTTCCAGTGTTTCTACCCTGGCACTCTTTGTGGGTTGCTTCCTGTTACAGTTAACTGAACATTAAGCTTTAAAAAAACATATAGCACATGACAGTGAAGATTTTATTAAAAAAATGCTGACAATGACACTTCAGGCCATCAGAGCAGAGATGCAACACAGAGATGGACTCATGATCGAGGGGTGGACTTAACAATGGACACTATTGCCCAGGTGTGAACACTGCACACAGTCTCTCCTGCTCTGGAAGACTGCTACAGGAGATGGAGCCTGACATCATGGACCAGATGGATTCAGCAGCTTTATAGGGACTGGTCAATGCACTAAGATAAGAGTGATGGTATATTGAAAATGTGGGATCTGAGCATGATGTGAATGGTATGGAATAAGGGGTGGATAATGTCCTGGGTTCAGCAGTAGCAGTCATTTTTCTCCTTCTTGGTAGCTGGTGCAGTGCAGCGTTTTGACTTTTGGCCTGGGAACAGAGCTGATAGTGATGTTTTGGTTTGGCCAAGGACTTTGTGAGCCTCATGCTCTGCCAGGGAGGAGGGGAAGCCAGGAGGAAGCAGAGACAGGACACCCGACCCAAACTGACCAAAGAGGTATTCCATACCACAGCACGTCATGCCCAGGATGTAACTGGGAGTTAGCCGGAAGGGCTGGGAGACTGCAGGGTTGGAGGAGGTATGGGTCAGTGCTTGGTTGGGCCTGGGGGGTGAGTTATCGGTTGGCTGGTGGTGAGGTGTTGTATTCTCCTCCCTTGTTATTTCCTTTATCATTGTTATTATTGGTGGTAGCAGTAGTGATTTGTGTTATACCTTAGTTACTAAACTGTTCTTATCTCAACCCATGGGAGTTGCATTCTTTTCGATTCTCCTCTCCGTCCCTCTGGGACTGGGGGGGAGGGAAAGAAAGGAGGGAGTGAGTGAACGGGTTACCTGACTGGGTTTATACCATGACAAAACTGCATTTGCCAGACTTATCTAAAGTGATGTAACAGGGATCTAAAACCACTCTGTGACTGAATTTTTTCCTTTCCAAAAGGAGTTAATTTTAAACTGCTAAATGCTACTGCCTACCTTTATTTCTTGCTTTCCATAAAGATAAATTACTCTCTAAGTGTGAACACTAGACTTAGTGACGAAATGTGCTGCTCAAACAGAACATGGGGAGTTACAACCGGCTTGAAATTTCAATACGAGGTTAAATGTTGAGTCAGTGGCAATGCCTTCAGAATACTCTGTAGTATCTTACTATTTCTGCTATATTATGAGATTCTATAGTGATATGTAGGCTGGCTTCAAACACTGTGCTGTGCAGCAACAGTCATATGGCTGGGGAAGGAAGACTGGCACTGGTCATGTCAAAACAGGTGTCCAAAAAATTACACCCTATATTTCACACATTTCTGTCACTAACTGTAACAAATGCAAATGCAATATTGTTTTCCTGTACAACATCTCAGTTCACATGCACTAACTAAGCTGCCAGTGATACGGCTCATTCTCTGCATGCCAAGGAGAGCTCACTTCTGCCTGCATGGGGTTACCATGAATGTCTCAGCAGTCACTGAGTTTGACTTTTTCTGTTGGTTTTTTGAGGGTTTTTTGCTGCACTGTACCGTCAGAAGCAGCAGCAAACTTTGCTGAGGATTATTCATTGTGTTGCAGTCCATGAGGATAAGCAAGATGATGGGTGAAGCCATGTGCTCATTCCCTCATTCTGAGAATCTCAGGAATTGCTTCATTTGGAATAGAGTTTCTCTTGCCCTCTTGCCCTCTAAGAGTCACAGCTTCTTACGTTTTTTCTCACACAGCAGTCCCTGGATCTCCTAATGTGAAAAGATGATACCTCAGAAGGTGAGTTGCCATAAGCCAGCCCACTTTGTGAGACCCTAGAGGTGTCATGCTTGAGATCTGGTAGCTCAAACTAGGATACTAATAGGAACAATGAGGTGTCAAGGGAAGGGAAAACAATGGAAAAGAGCTGTGTCCTGAGGCCACTGGCTGCACACTCTCACATCTAGTAATCATCTGTTGTGTGTCTGGATGGACTGTGGAAAGCTGAAATGGAAGAGACCGTAATAGCTGTGGAGCCTGCTGTGACCTGAGGTGGACTGCTTTGTCTCAGTTTTTCATCAGGCATCCAGAAGTAGTCTGTTCAGGGAAACACAAGGGGAGGATGCATTTTCACCGGAGCTGTCTTTTCCAGCCCTACCTTGTGTCCACTGGAATGAAGCTGCTAATTTCCGCAACCCAGAAGAGACAATCTCATCAGTCATGCCTCAGTCTCATCAGTTCATTCCATTTAAGGATGTGAGCCTGAGGGATTCTGCCCATGCTGCATTTACAGGATGAACTAACTGCATTTTCCTTACAGCGTTTCCTCACGTGTGTAATTAAGTATGTGAAACAGAAGACAATTTATGAACCTCCCCTTTAGCTGTAGCTTTCTGGATTTAGTACTTGCCATAACATCTGCTACAGTACCAGCTATCAGATGAAGGCAACTGAGGCAACAATTTTTTCCAGTAGCACAGTATAATTCTAAGATAGGGCTGGGATCAAGACACAAAGAAATTTGAAGCAAGGTTGCTCCTGGGTGTAGTTCTTCATTCGGGGTTGGAAAAGCAGACATTACTTTGCACATCTGATGTTAAAAGGGAAGAAGCATTTAAACAGTGAGAAATGACAAGTAAGGTTGAGTTTCCACAAGAAATCAAAATCAAAGCTTCAGCTGGGAAGGAATACAGCACAGATTTGGTGATATTAGGACCAGCTCTTGGGAAAAGCTTGTGAAAGTTATTGTCTATGGTAAATTAACTCCAGTATCTCATCTGAAAAGCAATGTGCCACATAGTTACAAAAATAGTCAAAGTTAATTTTAGAAACAGAACAAAAAAGGAATGGACCTATTTTCCCACCTCCACTGTTTTAGCATTCCCATTCCCCATCAGTGATGTGATTAGGATATATGTGTACACTCTGATGTTCAGTGAGAGATGCTATGGGACATGCATTCTTGCTCTGCTGTACACAGGCTGGATAGAGACCGTAGGTGATATACCCTGCTGTCAGTGCCTTTGTGTTGGCACAGAAGAGGATCTCATGGTGTCTTAGGCAGTGTCTTTGAAATTCACCTGGATCAGGCTTTACATTTCATTTGATACACCCTTTTCTGTTTTCTGTTTGGGTTGTTTTTTTTTTTGGTTGTTTTTAGTTTGTTTCCTAAGGCCCTAGTCCAGAACAGACTTTATTGCTTTCTAGGATATTACAAGGTTGGTTACTTTAAATTCATTGCTGAGCAGCCAAAAATTCTCTATGCCAGCTTAGGCTTTGCAGTTTATCCGTAACATGGCCATTGTGGTGCAGCAGTAAAAGAAAAACCTTTATGTGATGCACAAGGTGTTTCATTCTCTTTCCCCTTATAAGCACCAGAGCATCACTTCTCAGATGCTGCCTTGGATCAGTGCCGCTGGGGTCCCTGCAGGTGCAGTGGAACAGACAGCTTTAGGTGGGGGCAAGCTGCCATCTCGCTGGGCTCTGGGACCATGAAGAGCTGCTGTCTCATGCCCTGGCAATTGGCAGCACTGGCCTGTAGGTGCAGCAGTGCTGGTCCCAAGTGCCCTAACCTACCCATGTTCTCACTGTGCTGTGTGGAGGCATGGGAAAAAATGAACAGTTTGTTCCTTTACCACCTTAGAATAGAGATCTAGACTGATGATGACAGTGATGAAACTCTTAAGTAATATGAGTGTCTAAAATATGCCCTTATGCTCCCTTTACTGGTATTAAATTGTCGCTATTATATTGTCACTATACTTACCAGAATAATTTTAGTAGCGTCATTCTCTGTGAATGGAAACAGGAAGTGGAATATAACTCAAATTCACACTTCCCTTCATCTTAGGGGCTCTGAAGTTAGAAGTGTTAGAGACTCAAAAAAAAAGGAAAAGGGTAGGCAAGAGTCTCTGTCAGCCTACAACCATGTGAGTCATGACCCCAATGACATTAAAAAAGCAAAGCTGATATGTAGCTACATCAGAAAAGAATAATGATATGCATCATGATGGCACTGATGCAGGTTGTGGCTAAGATTCTGGGAAAGACATATTAAATGAAGTCTGAAATTCCACCTGCTAGGTCATCACTGTTCACTGAAAAACTCCCAACTTACAAGCTAAGCTATAGCTCTGCTGCATTTATGGCAGATGGATTCTGCTTTAAGGGAATTATTGACATAAATTAACCTCTCCTTTATTATGCTGACAACAATACAATTTGGCACTGACATTTCATATGCTGTGGATATTAACTAAATCACCATCACAGCCCTTTTAATTATCCATATTCTTATTGTATAGATCAGGAACTGAGGATAGGAAATACAGTGACTCACCAAAGGCATACATACATCAATGCTTTTAGGCATTTTCTGTGAGAAAAGTGGAATTTAAATGCATGCATTTCTTCTTGCCAATAAAGAAATATTTGGATTTTATAAACTTGTCTCTGTAAGGAAAGTCCTTGCTTTGGGAAGTGTTCCTGTGGATTTGCACCTGTTTTTTTCCCTGCAGAGCCATCAGGAATTCTAAGTGGAACATTCAAAACCAATATTACACATTGTGGACTGGAGCCTGGATGAACCCATTTCTGTATAGTGAAAAGTGCCTGTCTGGTAACCTGAAAAGTTAAAAAGAATACAGATGTTCTTTTTAACATGGCAGGATGTTTTGGTCCAGCTGGAACAAACAAATTCGGAGAGGGACTGAAAAAAGTGTACATTATTAGGTATGTAAGAATAAAGAGGTAAACACACAAATGATTGAAATATAGGACACTATAGTCTTTACATCTAAGTTTCCTCTTTTCTCCAGAGGACTATGATTTGAACACTTCAGAACATCTCAGAACAATCTAAGCGATTAGGTACCTACATTTTGTTATCATAAAGTGACAGGACCCTGAACTTACCTGAGGTTTTTCAGGAAGCCCAGCCTATAGGCCTTCATTATCATCGTCTTCCTTTACCTTGATGTGAATTTTCAGCAATGCAGGGAGGTACTAAAGGAAATGATGCTATGAAAAATATCCACACAGACTGAAGTAAACTGGTCCAAGCTATGGCTTTCACAAGCATTCGTGGAATATTAAAACGTATAAATTTTGTGGAAATTAAGCTCTTTTCACAGGGTGAGGGCCCTATGTTTACCACAGAGTCTGTGGTCTCTTCTGCCTCTTTAGGGTTTAGCTGCCTGTGCAGATATCAGGGCTCACATGGCTCACAGCCAAGACCAGCCTTGTGCTCTGCTGATCCTGACCATGCCTTCCTGACATGTCCTCCCAGATTGACCTCAGACCTGCCTTGTTATTACAGATTTGCCTGGTGACTATAGAGCTGTTGGCCAATGCTGGTTAACATGGACAGATCTGCTCTGTGTGCTGTGCGACTCTGTGGCTTCTCAGGGTGTTGCCCAGCCTGCCTGGCTCCCTGTCCCTTGCAGAGAAGACAAAAATTGGCTCAGTTTTGTTACTTAGTTTTAGTTTGCATTATTCTTTATTCAAAATAAATAAAAAGCCTCAATAGAATTAGCTTTCCAACCTTTTTGGCTTCTGGAAGGTCTAGAAATGAACCACTGAGTTATTTTTTCCATGGAGTTACAGTGAAGCTTGGTTCTGCTTTTTTTTTTTTTTTTTTTTTTTTTTCGAGTGCTGCAGTGAAATTTCACACTGTGTTGCAAAATACATATATAATAAGCACAGGAAATCTGTGGTGAAGTAACTTGCACTGCTGCTTGCATACTTTTTCCTTCATAACATATAAGAAAGTATTACAGGAAAAAAAAACCCTCACATCACAACAAAATCCAGCAAATGGAAACAAAGAAAAGAAGGGAACATAGTTTTTTAGAGATGCATCAACAGCCAGAATACTGATATACACAGTTCATAGGATCAGATGACAATTCATGCTGGAGGGCACTTCAGGAAGTCTGTAGTCCAACCTTGTGCTCAAAGAAGGTCAGCTATGAGGTCAGACTGTGTTGCTCAGGGCTTTGTTCAGCTCAGTCTAGAAAATCTGTCAGGATGGAGCATGTAGAACATCATGGTGCAACCTGCTCCACTGCTTGTCAGTCACTGTAGTTCAAAAGTTTTTCCTTATATCAACTCTTACCCTTCTTGCCTCAAGTTACGCACATGATTTATTGTCCTCCTGCTATGCACTCTTCTGAAAAGATTGGTTCCTTCTTCTCAATACCCTCCCTGCAGGTATTGCAAGGCTGGCACTAGGTCCACAAAGTCTTCTCCAGGCTGAACAAGCCCAACCTCCTCAGCCTCTCAAGGTCCCTTTGCAGAATGTGAAATTAATCAAAAGTATAAATAGATACAAACATGAACTCATGAAAACAATGAAAGTGGCTCTTTGTAATAGAGAAATTTATGATTTACACACAGAGGGATCTTCTCATAAGAATTTCCATATTGCTTGTAACCACCTTATGCTTAGCCTCCAAGTATAATGTCAGACCTAGAAGTGTACTGAAAAAAGTGCTTGTCAAAATCCTCACACTCTTTCAGCTACATGGACTTGCTACAGGAGGCCTTTTTTAAGAAAAAAAAATTTCCCTATGAAAATGGGCAACCGCCATAACCAAACATTCTTCCTGGCAGCTGAACAAAAGTGAAAAGGTTGTGAGAAGAGAGAAAGCAGACTTTCCATGGTATTTTAACTCTTTTCAGAGGGTTCAGTGCCTGCTGCTACCAGGGAACCCCACAGCAGTTGCAGGGGCCTGTGCAACTAACAGGCCCCTGAATTGACAGCTGTACTTTTATTTGTGCCAACTTCAAACTTTTAAAAATGTGGGTACTTTAGCCGCACTCTTAATGTTTGTTGGTACATTCATGTGCTTTGCTGGTTTGTCAGTACTGCTTGTTGGTTTGTGTCTGATTTTTCAGAACTGGCAGACTGAAAGCCCAGGAATGTCCAGCCAAGGCTTCCATGTACAGTTATGCAAATGGATATAAACCTTCTTGATCTACTGACTCTATAAACATAATCACATTCTAGATTTCAGTCATAATAAGCAAGGTTAAAGACTGATCCTTTATGTTGTGTAGATGTGAAACTTTTCAGTCTTTCTCTTCAATCTTTTCAATCTTTCTCTTTCCTTCCTGAATATATTGGCAAAAATTTAATCTGAGTTAAGAGACTGGTGTCTAAAATTTGGTTCTATATAGGAACTTGAAGTAATGAATACTCAACTGTCTGAAACTTGGTATTGACATTGTAATGAAACTACATGACATATGGTTATACATTAGAACATATATTTTCCAAAGAAAACAGAAGCTGAAAAGCTTAAGAGCAGGTAACTACCTGTCCGCATGAGGTAAACAATTTTAAGAAATGGCTAATCTCAGGGGTATGCTGAAGGAGAACTCAAGTCATTACTGAAACACAGGAACCACCATAGCAGCATAAATCACAGCATGACATTAGAGAGAACATTTACCATCCTACCTCTGTATGCTCTTTGATCAATCATTAGAATGATTTTCATGTGTGTGTGCTTTATTCACTTCTATCACAGTGCTGATTAAAAAAAATAAATAAATAAAATCCCTTTTGGGACTCCTTCCCAGCTAAGCTTAGATTTCAACTAAAACTTGAAACCAAATTACTAGGTTAAGAGGACTTTAGCTTCCTCCAGCTCAGTATGTGTATGCCCAGCATGTGGGCTAGCTAGCAAGCTGTGACAGGAAGTATTTTTGTGAGAGATCCTCAGTAATTTTATCAGTGTGTCATGGTCATCTTGACTGTGCGCTTGTCAACATGGATTTATGTACCGGGTCTGATTTAAAGATAAGTGTTGATGCTGCATTTATTTCATTGCCACTATAACAAGTTCTTATCAGCTCCAGCTATTGGTTTCACTTAGATTAGTGTCAGTGATTTTTGGAGTATTTCCTAGGTAGAAACTGGGGGAGAATTTTTCTTTCTTTGCTATTTACATCATGCAAATTTTCTTGTTCAGGAATTTTTGACAGACTCCGTTTCACAGAAAGTTCTGGAGATGATCAGTTCACTGCTCTTTATAGCAGAACTGCACAGGGCATGATCTTTCACTTGCTCTCCCTCATGCTTTTGTAGGCACAAGCAACACCTGAGCAAATTCAGTATGTCTGTTCGTGCAGTTTCACTCACAAAGCAGTAAAGAATGGGATCAGCAATGCAATTCAAACTTGTTAAGGCCTGTGTGACTCTGTAAACCTTATACATCAACTGCAAAAGCTGTGGGTCACTGGTGTAAGGTTCTTTGATGCTGCGAATAAACAACATAACATGATAAGGAGTAAAGCAAACAACAAAAGTAACTGTGATATTTAGAATAAGTTTCCTTACTTTTTTCTTTTCTTCATCTATTGTGGCTTGATTACACCTTACTACTTGGTAGATTTTATGGTAGCAAAACACAATGACTACCAAAGGGAGCAGGTACCCTGAGCATATCCGGAATAAATTTATCTGTGCCTGCCACCATTCCAGGGGGTATTTGTCATAGCATAATGTATGATTAGTGAAATTGCAAGGATCATGGAACACTTCTTTGTATACCAATATGACTGAATTGAAGGTGCTTTCCAGAAGCCAAACAATTATGCTGACAATCAATGAAAATCTTCTTGTGCGCAAGTGCTGGAGCTTCAGGGGGTGAACTAATGCCAGATACCTGTCAACAGAGATGCAAGCAAGGAACGCAGTACCAGTGTAGAAATTCATATACATAAGGAAGGCAGAAATCTGACAAAGCAAGGCAGAGAGTCTCCAGTTATCTCCATTCCAGGCATAATCAATCCACATAGGCAGAATTAGAGAGTACAAAAGGTCAGCCACGGATAGGCTGAAGATGTAGACTGCTAACTCATTCTTCTTCCTCACCTGAATGCAAGATGCATAGAGGCTTATGCAGTTGATAGGAATACTGATGATCATCACAACACTGTACACAAGTGGAAATAAATACTTATCCAGGGTGTGATCATCATGGCACTCAGCAGTGCTGTTCATTGTCCACTCTGAGTAGTGTCTTTGGGCTAATTCCAGCCTGGATGCAATAAAAACCCCTCTGTAGTCTGACAGGTGGTCATCTGTTTATTAGTTCTTCAGGATCTGGTTGGTAAGATTCCAGCCTTCTGTTACCAAAAAGGAAAAAGATCAGCTATAACAACAATTTTTTTTTTTTTTTATGGGCTTCTTGGAGGGTATCTTTTTTAGAAGAAAGAAACTGTTGTATGAGGTTTTTAAACACTTCTAGTTAGGAGTAAATAGTAAGGGGAACCCAAATATCTAAAGTGATCAAGGTTAGATTCAAGCTTCTATAGCAGAAGCAGAATGAGTAAAGACACTTCCAGAGGGGTAGGGTCCTGCAATTCCAGATCTCTCCTGCGTGACAGTTGAAAGAGATCAAAAAGTGCACCACAAATAAAATACTATTCTGATGAGCAGAACATGGTTTTGGCCAAACAAATATGGCAGATTTCTTATCCCAACTAACATCACAGTATCACAGTATCACAGTATGCTAGAGATTGGAAGGGACCTCAAAAGATCATCTAGTCCAATCCCCCTGCTGGAGCAGGAACACCTAGATAATGTTACACAGGAATGTGTCCAGGCGGGTTTTGAATGTCTCCAGGGAAGGAGACTCCACAACCTCCCTGGGCAGCCTGTTCCAGTGTTCCGTCACCCTCACTGAGAAGAAGTTTCTTCTCAAGTTTAAGTGGAAGCT